ACCCCCACTCCTACCCAAATCCTATCGAGGCCCAGAGAGATGGGGCCTGGCCATGGTGGTGGAGAAACAGAGGTGCTGACTGCACAGTGAGTCAGCAGACAGCAACTGCAGCCCAGCCCTGGTCCAGGCTCAGCCTCCTGGAAGGGGATTAGGGGAGATTAGGTACCTGAATCAGAGCACTGGGAGTTGGAGGGTTGCAGGGAACATGGATCCAACTACTCCATCCTGGGCAGCCCAGCCATGAAACTGGGGGCTCTGCAGGGTACATGGTGACGACCTCTGTGTAGTGGGGTGCTTGTGTCTGCCCAGGTGGAAAGCGTCAGTGCTTCCTCCTGTCATTATTAGGCAAGACCCTGTGCAGGCAGGAAGTCTCCTCTCTTGTACTGGTTGCTGGTTGGGGCTCAGCCTCAGGCTGACTGAGGCTTCTGACCCCTTCCCAGCCCAGAGCTGACAGAGCTATGACAGATATGTGGAGTGACCAGGCCACTCAGCCCCAGACTAGCTCAAGACCCCAGATTGTTCCAAGGGACATTGCTGACCTTGCCAGGCCCAGCTGGCCAGGATCCTTCAGCTGTCCTTTCCATCCATGTCACTGTCCCACTCTCGAATCTCTCTGTTCCTACTTGGGCCAGAGACTTGTATGAGGAGGGCAGGCAGCAGATGAGCACCGTGAGCCAGGGTGTGGGGTCTGGAGCAGCCGAGTGGGCTTAGAGTGCTTATTGGCTAAGAGGAGCCTGGCCAGCTGGGAGATTCCTTTCCTTTTCTTCTGCTGCTGAAGAATGGGGTCATGGGGATGTGTGGAACCCCACAGAAAAGGTGAGGGAAAAACGATGTGGGCACACCTGGAGGAGGCTCAGAGCAAAGCTGGTTGTGTAGAGAACTGCCATCTGTGGTACACAATGGCATCCACATTGGGAGCAGACAGAAAACTGGTGCCCACTGGTGGCCTCTAAGGCCCAGCCTGCCTGGCCTCCCCCTCCTACTGCCAGGGAAACATAGCCAAATTGGAGTTTTAGACCCTGGTAGCAGCAGTGTGTGCCAGGGGATGGCACTCACGGGAAGCGTGGCCCAGGTGCACTGGGTAGGTCTGTGGGGAGAGCTATCAGAAGGCAGAAGGCCCAGTGCCAAGTTGCTGGAGAAGCAGGGCTGCCTGGCTGCTCGAGGAACCTTAACTGGGGAGACTGGAGCTGAAGGGGGAGGAAGAGGAGATGCTTTTACAGTTAAAGAGCTCTGCACTGCTGGGCCATGGTGCCATCTGGCCAGGCTTGGTGGGTGGAGTAATGTGCAGGACAAGAAGAGACCCCTGGGGAGTAAGCACCCCACCTGAAAAACTGGGTTCTGCAGGTGGCACTGAGGAAGGGAGGGGTGTAGGTGGGGCACGGCGAGGGGCTCATCCCAACACCACTGGGACAGTCTTTCCACTCCTTCACAGGTCCCCAACATTGCCACCACCATGGATCACTCCTTCAGCGGTGCACCGCGCTTCCTGACCCGGCCCAAGGCTTTCGTCGTGTCTGTGGGCAAGGATGCCACACTGAGGTGCCAGATCGTGGGCAACCCCATGCCACACGTAAGCTGGGAGAAGGACCAGCAGCCAATGGAGGCAGGCGCACGCTTCCATCTGGCCCAGGACGGCGACATATACCGCCTCACTATCCTGGACCTAGTTTTGGCGATAGCGGACACAGTATGTGTGCCGCGCGCGCAGCGATTGGAGAAGCCTTTGCGGCCTTGGGCCTGCAAGTGGACGCCAAGGCCGAGTGTGCTGAGCAGGCACCACACTTTCTGCTATGACCTAAGTCCATCCGCATGCGCGAGGGCGCTGAGGCCACATTTAGCTGCCGCATGCGCGGCTCGCCACGACCGGCTGTGAGCTGGTCCAAGGACTGGCGGCGCCTGGGTGCACCAGACGCGCCCCCCTCCCCCTCTCTACTCGTGGAGGAGCAAGGCGGGGCGAGCAAGCTGCGCATCCGGGCGGCGCGACCTCCGGACGGTGGCACCTACGAGGTGCGGGCAGAGAACCCGCTGGGTGCAGCCAGTGCTGCTGCCTCGCTGGTGGTAGATTCAGAAACGGAAGCTGCCAGCCCACCTGGGGCCTCCATGGCAGCGCTCCTGGCTCACATGCAGCAGCGACGTGAAGCCATGAGCGCAGAGGGCGTCCCCGCCTCACCACCCAGCGCCGGCGTCCTCACCTGCATGGTGACAGAGGGCAAACACGCGCGTCTCAGCTGCTACGTGACGGGTGAGCCCAAGCCTGAGATCCTGTGGAAGAATGATGGGCAGCTGGTGACAGAGGGACCGCGACACGTGGTGTATGAGGACGCACAAGAGAACTTCCTCTTGAAGATTCTGTTCTGCAAGCAGTCATACCGCGGCCTCTACCCCTGCATGGCGTCCAACCTCGTGGGCCAGACCTACAGCTCCGTTGGTGGTGGTGCTAGGTGAGGACCATGGTGCCAGGCGGCGGTCCCAGCGAGAAGCTGCCTGCACGCAGGCAAGTGTCCTCCCTTGTCCCTGTGCCCACCTCCTTTGGCCCTAGCCGCCGCTGCCATAGGTAGCCCAATGGTGAAAGTCGGTCGTGGAATATAGACCAGATTTGGAAGTCTGGGTGGCTCTCGCCTTTCACAGTTTTTGTTTCTGGTTTGCATAATGCAGGGGCTAAGATCTTCCATCTTTGCTGAGTGTAGGGACCCGCTTTCCACCACAGCAGTGCAACCCACCAAGTCCCTGCCCCTCTCCCACTGCACTTATCCCTACCCTGCAGAGACCCCTCCAAACCTCACCATTTCCGGAACCTTAATACTTAGCCCCCTGTCTTTCCCTTATCACGTTTTCCTTGCCAAACCCCACTTCCCCACCTTTATCCGACATTGCCTCTTCCCCATTTCTGGTCCCCATCCCCTGGGGCCCCCTGCCACTGGCCATCCTATATCCTACAACCTTTTTACCCCTTCCCACCTCCTCCACCTTCTTCTGTCTCCGAATTCTGCCCCCACCCCACTTCTCAACTCCCAGATCCCAACTCCTGCACTCTGGAGCCTCCTGTCCTCCGGTATCCTCTGGCCCCTCTCACCAGCTGGTCTCCACAGAGCCTGCAGTGCCCTTCAAGAGGCGGCTGCAGGACCTGGAGGTGCGGGAGAAGGAGTCTGCCACGTTCCAGTGCGAGGTGCCGCAGCCCACCACCGAAACTGCATGGTTCAAGGAGGAGACGCGGCTGTGGGTGAGCACCAAGTAAGGCATCGAGGAGGAGGGCACTGAGCACAGGCTGACAGTGCACAATGTCTCGGATCACAACGACGCTGTGTACACCTTCGAGACCACGGAGGGCAGCCGCACCTTGGCGGAGCTTGCTGTCCAAGGCAGGCGGTGGAGGGCGGGGAGGGCAGATTGCGTGTGGCAGGCA